GGGGGGCGGTGCGAGCCCGGACGACGACGACGAGGAGCCCCGGGGGCCGGGTGCATGGAGGACGAGGTGCTGGGAGAAGGAAGAGGGGGTGGGTCCCACGACGGGCCTCGTGGGCTTGGCTCCTCGAGGTTCAGCTTCAGGACAGAACCCTGCAGGGGCGGCCAGAGGCCCGGGAAGAGCTAGGAAGGCGAACTGGCTGGTGGAGGGGGCCCTCCTTGGCGGGGTCCCGCCGAGAGGAAGGCTGGGCCAGAGGGACGTCCGGGGCAAGGCTGGGAGGAGCCGGCCGCACCAAGGCTGGGGATTTCGCGTTATGGAGGTACGGGAGATTGTTGTAGGGAAAGATGTGGTCGTGGGGAAAGGCGGGAGGGAAGCACACTGCGAACCCGGGAGGCCAACAGCACAGGCCCGCGGGGGTGCCCTTCTGGTCCGTTCACACCACTCCCTGTCTCGGGTAGAAACACTCAGTTTTTGTTTTATTGTTTTGAAATTGACAATGTGGGCTGGGAGAAACTGTCGATGTGGTGATACTTACTGGTTCTTGGTGTCTCCTCTAGTAGACAGTGAGAACAGGCTTCTCTTAGGAGGAGCACATGTCTAGCCCAGAGTTTATAGACTCTTCAGGCGAGTGTGGGAAGGAGGTTGTCCCCGTGGCACAGTTGCAGAAATCTTCGGTGAGACTTTGGAGGGTGCAGTCATAGGTTAACTGGTCCTCCACCTCTGCCCCAAAGGCCAGTGCTGGTTACTGGCTAGCCCCATGGTTCTTTTAAACTTTGAAGGCTGTTTCTCCACAATCCCGCTGCTGAAATGTTTTGTGGGGAAATAATTGGCGTATGCATTTGGAGTTGGGAGTGGATTCGATTAATAATACAATCCTAAGGTTGGAAGGGACTTGAAAGGTCATCTAGTTCTCTGTTTATCTGTCCTGTCCTTGAATGTTGGGATCGAGGGAGTCTTGTTACGGAGGACATGGTAGGTGTTTGGGGCAGTTTAGTGTGCTCAAATTGGATGTTGATGTCTCTGTGTGCTACTGAAGATGGCAGTATATAGGAAAGAAATTTGGAGGATTAGATTTGGGGATTAAATGGGATAATCTAATTCCAACAATCACCCAGGGGCTCCACATTGAAGCAGAAGGTTGCAGAGGAAACTAAAATTTTGATGGCAAAGCAAAGGAAAGACTGAGGAAGCTAGTGGAAGTAGGGAGCATGGGGAGTTCAAGAGACTCAAGCTTGATGGTAGGGTTTAGGAGCCACATGGCTGTCTTGACCAAGTCACGAGGATATTGACAAGCAGACATGTTTTGATAGGGCAGTTGAGGCACCTGCCATTGGAACAGGTGGGGACCAGAGTCACAGGCCTTGGGGCACAGAGCATGGTTAAAATCGACTTTTAAGAGGGCTGACCCCATTAGCAGCTTTGCAGCCAGGGCTGGTGGGTTTCTTTTCTTCTTGGCTCTGAGAAGACTAGGACTCGTTGATGATGCAAGGGGACAGGGTGTGGATGCCTGGGTTAAAGAGGACTAGTTCTTTAGAATAACCCAACAAGGAAGAAAGTGTGGATGGTTGGGGTAGGGCAGAGGAAAGCTAAGGCCCCAGCCAGCTCTGCTGTTGGACTGTGGATTGGGCAGAGTGGAGATTTCCAGAAGAAATAGTAGCTTGCACCAAGGCCACTCATGTGGATCTGGCTATTTAGATTTGCCAGGAAGCAGTAGGGAGAGAGGGAGGAACCCTTTCTCAGTGGCTTAGCCTTTCTTGGGAAATGAAAGGAATTTCTTCCAGGGCTCTCTGCTTTATTTATAAGGCAGTTCACTTAAACCGGGTAAAAATATTAATGAGTACACAAGGTAGTGAGTCTCCTCTCTCTCTCTCTCTCTCTCTCTCTCTCTCTTTCTCTCTCTCGATTTATTTTGTTTATTTGAAAGACAGTTACAGAGAGGCAGAGAGAGAAAGAGATCTTCCATCAGCTGGTTCACTGCCCAAATGGCTACAACTGCCAGAGCTGAGCCGATCTGAAGCCAGGAGCCAGGAACTTCTTCTGGGTCTCCCACATGGGTGCAGGGGCTCAAGGAATTGGGCCATCCTCCGCTGCTTTCACAGGCACACCAGCTGGATCAGAAGTGGAGCAGCTGGGTCTCCAGCGGGTGCCTGTATGGGATGCCAGTGCTGCAGGCTGGGGCTTTAACCTTGTGCACCACAGCACCAGCCCCAGCAGTGGGTCTCACAACATGAATACTCTGGATTATAGGTTTCAGGGAGGGGCTTTTTTTTTTTTTAAAAAAAGATTTATTTATTTATTTGAGAGGCAGAGTTACAGACAGAGGGAGAAAGACACAGGGAGTGGTCTTTCACCTGGTTC